TGGAGAAATCAAAGGAATACATTTTTGACCATACTAGAATATATTTATACTACGATAAAAAGTTTATTCGGAAATGAAATGAAAATTAATAAAAAACTTACATTTTTCAATAAAGATTTGATGGTCTCTGCTTCAGAAGATATTAAAGTAATGAGCAGAATGCCAAACTAAATGGAAAATATTTCCATGAATATGTAAATTGTAAATTGATTATGAACATTAGAAATAGTATATATTGACGAAAATACAACACTGGAGAAAAATTGTATTGAATCAAGAAAACCCATTTAGTTATCTGTATTTGATTCAATATTTTCTTGATCGAAGAATATTTTACTAGCTTGAAGTGAATGAAAATTAGTTGATCAAATACGGACAAGTAAATGATTTTCTAGAATCAATGATACTTTTCACTGAATAGCCGAATTTAAGCACCGATCTACAAGCAGACTTTTTAAACATTAATTTGTTTCGTATAATATTGGAAATGAATATTAGTATTTTGTTATTCACTCCAAGCGAATGTTGAGAATTTAACAAGCTCTATTCAATTATTAATTGGGGAATATTATTAATTAATTATATTAATTAATATGTGGGAATATTTAACCCGTTCAGGACCAGTGTTGCTTTCCTTGTAAAAAATACTAATCTTTAATAAACTTTTATGAAATTTACAATAGGTGTAATAAGATTTGATAGAACGTATTTGATTCATTATTAAGTGATACTAAATTTTATTAAATCCTGTATAAAGTTTATAAAACTTTATTAAAGATTAGTATTTCTTATATAGAAATTTCACTTTTTACAATATTTTCCACGACAAATATCTCAGAAACATTTTGACTGTTTGTCCTGAAATTTTGTATGTTTATTGCAGTCGTTAATACCTAAATTCTGACACATGGATTTTCTAATATATCCGCAAGATTCTTTTTTACAATTGTTAAAATTTTGAAAAATGTATTTTTTGACAAAAAATTTTTTTTAATGTAAATTTTATTATTTATATTAAAATAATTTCATTTTATTTTTTTAATATTTATTATTTTGTTTATTTATATTTTATATTTTTTTTTTAATTTTATTTTTTAATTTTATTTTTTTTTTAATTTTATTTTTTTTATCGCATTTGTCCGATTTTTTATTTATATAAATGTCTCTTTAAAAGAAATTTAAAAAAAAAGAATTAAAATTTTGTGCAATAACATTTATTAATAAGATGAACAAATGCTTATGTTGCATTCATAATAACTTTTTTACAACAGACAATTACAAAATATATAATATAACGTAGCGAAATGATTTATATTTGCGTTTATTTTATTTCACAAGATTTTCTTACCTCATTGTACCTGTTCCACTCTTTAAAAATTAATTGCATAATTTAACGAGATTATAAACATTTTGAGTATTTAGATTAAGGTCATTCAAAAATATTAAATTTATTAAATTTTAATAATTAGTAATTATGCATTTGGTTTAGAATTTAATTATACAAAACTATAAATATTATTCTGTGTATTGTTGAACATTGCTAAAAAATTTTTAACACTTTCGAAATAACATTATTATTAAATTATTGTCGTTAATTAACTTTATTGTCAAATTTTTAATTATAATTAATTATTATAATTACAAAAATTTTAAATGTTGATTAAGTTACAATTTTTTTTTTTTTTTTCATATATATATATTTTATTCTAGAAATGAAAATGTATATAAGTCAAGTCAAATATTGAAAACTTTTAGAAAATTATAACAATAAATTCTGTTATTTCTTGCAATAAGGTGTAAACTAATGGAATCTAGAATTGCATTTTAATTTTAATTTAAAACTTAACAGTAGCAACGATTATTTTGACAATGCACTGAGAGAACAAAGTAGTTGAGGCTATACTGCTGCTAATTCGATAGTCAGGGATACCATTTATAATAGTAAAAAGTTAAATAGTTGCCGTTACCATTTTATTAGTAAGGGGAACTTATTCTAGTTAGTACCAACTACTAATAAATATTGTAACAGATAACATTTACTTAATTAACCTTACTAATCAAATAGGTAATTCGATATAATAAAATACAGCCGTAAATATTTATTTAATATTATTCACATTCAAAAAAATATGTTTATTATAAGTTTAATATAACTTTCTTGCTGTACCAAGTAAGATATAAATCTTATATTAAACATATTTTTTGTATGATGCGAATAATAATAAATAAATTTTGTAGGTTAGGTTTCTTTGTTAAATTGTCATTTACATTTAAAATCCACGCACTTTTTTAACACTCAATTAAATAATCTATATAAAAATAATATAATTGTAAAAAATATATAAGAAGATAAACAAAAATTAATGATCATGTTTTCTCACGACATTGCTTTACGAGCATGAGTGTTGCCAACCGAATTTCTAACAACTGCAAACCGCGTTTACTAAAAAAATGGTAAACCCGACTACTCTGTTAGTTAAACTTTTGCATGGAACTATTTTTGTAGGTGTGGTTATTATTTTCTGTTTACCAATTCTAAATAGTTGCGCTTGACATCAAAAATATTAAAATTCACTAAAAACATTACTGAATTTTACTAACTAAATAGGCAGGGGAATAAATACCTCCTTTACTAATAAAAAAGTAGTAGCTCCAACCATTCATTTCTCTCAGTGTGGTTATAGAAACTGCCTTGCAGCTATAACATACATACCAGAAATCGTCAATGGCATTTTTTCGTTTTAAAACAACATGACTGTCTTCACCAATTTTATCGTCAAATTTTTAATTATAATTAATTATTTTAATTATAAAAATTTTAAATCTTGATTAAGTTACTATTTTTGTATTTATTCTTTTTATTTAGTTTAAAGCATATAATTCAAATTATTTTATTATTTGTGTTTATTTACTTATAATTACGTAACGATGACGTGAGTAATATGAATTATTATATATGATTATTATAATTATTATTGACATGAAATTCTCACATACATATTCATGGAAATTATAAGACTTCTTCTAATCAAACTGCTTTTCCGTTTAAAGAGTAATCCATTGAAAATGTAAAAAATTAAATATAGTAAGTAATTATTTATACATGTTTATCATTATATAAGTTGATAATGAAAATTGAAATGTCACAATGTTCTGAATTTGGAATAAGTTTTAGATATTTTCCATATTGCTTGGCTTTCTGTTTTTTATACTTTTATATCTTCTACACGGAAAGAAAATAAATATCAAATTTTATAAAAGCATTTTAAAATTTTGTAAAAGTATTTTCAAGTCGTGGAAAATATTGTAAAAAGTGAAATTTCTATATAAGAAATACTAATCTTTAATAAAGTTTTATAAACTTTATACAGGATTTAATAAAATTTAGTATCACTTAATAATGAATCAAATACGTTCTACCAAATCTTATTATACCTATTGTAAATTTCATAAAAGTTTATTAAAGATTAGTATTTTTTACAAGGAAAGCAACACTGGTCCTGAACGGGTTAAATATTCCCACATATTAATTAATATAATTAATTAATAATATTCCCCAATTAATAATTGAATAGAGCTTGTTAAATTCTCAACATTCGCTTGGAGTGAATAACAAAATACTAATATTCATTTCCAATATTATACGAAACAAATTAATGTTTAAAAAGTCTGCTTGTAGATCGGTGCTTAAATTCGGCTATTCAGTGAAAAGTATCATTGATTCTAGAAAATCATTTACTTGTCCGTATTTGATCAACTAATTTTCATTCACTTCAAGCTAGTAAAATATTCTTCGATCAAGAAAATATTGAATCAAATACAGATAACTAAATGGGTTTTCTTGATTCAATACAATTTTTCTCCAGTGTTGTATTTTCGTCAATATATACTATTTCTAATGTTCATAATCAATTAACTATAGTTATAGAGTCTGCTATAGGATATTCATCAATTTTGTATTTGCCGAAGACTCATTAGTCAATTAGCTTAATAACTAGGCAATAAGATAAATTACTGATTGAATTTGGGAATATAGAAGAATACACGTCTTCCACATGTGCATTCTTTTATTTGTCAAAGTTGCCTACTTACTACTTTTATCTTATGAAAATTACTACATATCAATGAGAATAATAATTTTTATTTTTCCATCTATTGAATACTTAAAAATATTTTTTAAATAAATTTTTTAATTAAATTTTATAATTAAATTTTATAAATGATACTTTTTTCTTTTCTGTAATATAAATCACATTTATTGATGATGATAATATTAATCAATGTTTTCATTATACGAAATTTTTAAACACATTGGCATTCGTCTTGCGTGATTCTTTTTTGTTTAGTTTACTTTATTTAAAAAATGTGTTATCAAACATTCCAATAATGTAGGTCATTCTTGATATTATAACAAAGAGAACAATAAAAATGTTATTCGCTAATTACTGATGCCTATGGAATAATAGTCTGTCCCAAACGAGAAAAATTTCGTTAATTTCAAAATCAAATGCTTTTTCAGTTTCTTTTCTTGGGATTTTAACATACCTAAGTACTAAACTCAATTGATTCTTTTTTTTTATATTTTTGAGTTGTATCAGATATGCAAGAAAAAAAGAGCTTGCCTTAATTTTATGAATTAACATTTGATTGTTTAAACAATCTATCATTTTATTTTGAATCGTTGGGCTCAAATATTTTATTGACCTTTTTGTAATATATATTGATAAGAAATTCTTAATTTACATATCCATGGAAATTATGAGTCAATTTGTATATTGACGTTATTTAATCAAAATTCCTTTCTCTATACTGGGTAACGAATTAAAAATGTACAAAATTAAAGAATAATTATATTCGTGTACATGCTTATCATATAAATTCATAAGTCATAATTGAAATAATGTGTGCCTAATCAATTTTTTTAATGTCACGATGTTTCGAATTTGTAGAATAAAATAAATTATTTAAAAAGTTATTATCAATTTTTTGAAGAACAAAGAAGGATTTTCGTACATAAACCGAAAGCAAACACGACAAATATCATCTTAGTACAAGACATTGTATAACAAACAACATGAATAATTTTCAAATATTTTCCATTTTGTTTGGCATTCTGCTCATTACTTTGATATCTTCTGATGCAGAGACCATCAAATCTTTATTGAAAAATGTAAGTTTTTTATTAATTTTCATTTCATTTTCGAATAAACTTTTTATCGTAGTATAAATATATTCTAGTATGGTCAAAAATGTATTCCTTTGATTTCTCCAAAGTTATCGCAAAGTGAAAAAATATACCTGTATATGATTTTTTTTTTAAATTGGAAAATATTTAAAAGTTGCTTAAAAACCCACGAAACTAACAGTAAAAACACCATAAAGCAATAATAATTTTCTTATAAAATTGTCAAAAATCAATCAAAATAATTTCTGCTCTGAACTAGTTCTTGAAGAGGGATTAAAAAATGGTAATCAATAGTTTATTTAATAATTTGTTAATATTAAGTATTTTTTATGGTATTTTTTCAAAAATTTCATAAAGTTTTAGATAGTTATTATAATTTGAGTGTTTTTTGACGATTGTATTTTTAATGTAGGTAAATGTATGCTATCTGATATATTTTTTATATTTTGAAATTATAAATTAATTAAATTTGCACCAATAAAATAATTGTTCAGATTAAATACTTTTGTATATTTTTATACGATATTTTTTAAACAAATATATTATACATATATAATTCAACCTTATTTTAGTATTGCTATACAGTTGAAAATATTTAAATTTGTTTAAATCATATTTTCTAGTTGATTTAATGTAAAAATATATTTATTACTTGGTAGATTTTAAACTATATTTACATAATTATGTTTTTAATTAAAATCAAATATAAATTATTAATGAACACAATATTGCACAGCTGCAATATAAAGTAAGTTTGTGTAAGATTTGTTGAATTGCAGTAAACCAAGGTTAACAATTGTCTGAATTTGTCAATTTTCTTTGGTATTTCGTTTACACTTTTAATATTTTAAATATTATTTTGCAAACATTTTAAATCAGATAATGTATCTTATATTTAAAATTCAAAATTTTAATTATCATTAATTCATTCAAAAAAATTAATTTTCAATCTTAATATTAATTGTACATTGTTTTTTATTTTTAGGAGCTATATTCAAAATTGTTATTCAAACGTTCACCACATAGGTAATTAAACTTTTTAAATTAAATAATTTTTTTTTGTGAAATTTATAAGGCAAAGTTTTTTTTTAGTTAGAAGTAAAAAAGAATAATCTAAATTTTATAGGATTGCTTTCATTTTTAAACATTTCTATTTATTTTTTTAATACATTCCTGAGGAATTATTGAGATTTTGTAAAATGTTTTAAAGTGGGCCTGATAAAACTTTTTGTTGAAAATTTTTTTTTAGTTTTTAAATTAAAATGTTTGCTTTTTATAAGTAAAGTGAATATTAACAAACAAAAAATGTGTTGTTTTGAAAAATAAAAAAAAGATTAAAAAATATTAGTGTTTAACAAATTACATATTTTCTTTAGGTCTGTTCTAAAATTTTTTTGCTTTAGTTTAGATAAAGAAATTTTATTTTTTTGAAAATAAAAATTGAGAAAAATTTTATTTACCATTATGTATTTGTTCATAAAGAAATCTGATAAGTACTTGAGAAAATTGAAATTTTCAATTTTATTTTAATATCATCTTTTATAAATCGTTTTTAAGGGGTTAGTCGCAGTTATAATTTTAAGAACCCTTCTAGAAAAAATCAATTAGAACACGATTCAGAACGATTGAGTATAAAAATTTCTTAATGGTAATATTAGTTAATATTACTATAATATTACGTGCTACTTTGGTAATATTTGAAACAATAATATTTTTCTAGACTGTTTAATTAGTTACCATTTTTTAAATTTTCAAAAACTTCCACCAAATAATAGTGTATTCAGTACATTTTTGTCGAGCTGCGCAATGATCATTTACATTAAAGTTAAAACTTTAAACGCGTTTTTCTCGGAATTATGTATTTGAAAGCAGTGACCATGATTTGTCGAGAACCGCTTAGCTTGACCGAATTATTTTATATTGTGCAGGCTTCTTTAATATATCAAAACTCGCTGCTTGATCATAGATATTTTATTAAAAATAAATATTTTTTAAAAAAGCTACAATCAAATAGCGTAGGAACTAGTAAACTAAAAATATATAATCTTGAATTTTTTATTTTATATAACCCGTTGAGAAACGGTTGTGGTCACCCCAAAAACCTTTCCAAAGATCATCTTCCAGCGAAATAGCTGTGTTTCTTTTAATTATTTATATTCTGTAATAAAATTGTAATAAAAGTGTGAACTTTGTAATGGACAAATTTTTAGAGAAAAATTCCCAAAAAAAATGCATTTTTCGATCATCTGACTGCGACTAACCCATTAAAGCATCCCTAGTAGAAATTTGTCCTAGCTATAATAAAGGAATCCCAAGTAGAAATGTGCCACTGGCATAGTACTGACCCAACACTGCCAGTCAGTATAACGGTACTGACTGCCGTACTGGGCCAGTAGTGGACCAACCCTGGCTGGTAACGCTGTCCAGTACTGATTTTGTCCCGCTCACCAGTACTAACGTAGTACTAGAATAATACTGGCATAGTACTCATCCGGACTTAAAATCTCACTTTTTTACAAAATGCTAAAACACGCTTTCCAATGCAAATTTCATCCTTATTAGCTTATTACTCCCATTTTTACCACGAACAGGTTATGTGAAGCCAATAATAGTTAATGTTATTTAGAATATATAAAATATTATTAACAATAAATAATTAAAATAATAATTATCATTTATATTAATTAAATTATTTTATTTTTAATAAATTATTTTACAAAAAATAATTTGTGTTGTAAATTTTTTTATTGTTTTAAATTCATAATATTTAATTTTTTTTACTTTGCACTTATACTTAATTTAATAATTATTTAATAATTGATATTACACATGAACAAATATTGTACTTATAACACTTAAAACTAAGAACGAAAAATCTCGCACGCATGGGGGATCGAACCCTAAACCCTTAGAACGCAAGTCAGATACGCATACCGCACAGCCGCGCTGGCTTGATGTGCTGACTTGAAGTAGTTCACCTAATACAAAAGTTTTGATTTCAAAGTTTGTATTATCTATTGATCACGAAAATAAAATGAATTTATTCTTAAATTTTTTAAACTCATAAAATTTTTTCAATTTTTACAAAGATTTAATGAAATAAAACTGGATATCAATTTCAGTTAAATATTTTTAATAAATTATTTTTACCGTAAATAATATTAAAACAGACAAAAATGATTGATGAATTACATAATTAAAAATAAGTTAATAAAAGACGACTGTAAATTTGTCTAGTTACTTTACTAGCCAGCTCGCTAAAAACTCGAATGTCATGTCACGCTTTTTTCATCAAGTTATTATCCAGCACAACTTGATAATTATATTTCTCAATAGGACTTTTAAAAAACTTATCAAATTAATTCATTTAAATATTTCGAAATTCATTTAATAATAAGATTTAATGTATAGTAAACACGTTTATTTTATGTAATTAAAAAAATTCCAATTATCAACAAAAATGATTATATAAAAATATAATGCACTAAATATAGTAGTTCGTTATAAATATGTAATTTTTCATTCACAATTAAAATGGATTTAAAAAAAATACATAAATAAAACTATTGAAGCAACACATCCACATCTTGGCTGAACTATAACAACACTGAAACAATTATAATTATTATATTAATATGAATATAATAACATGAACCTTAAAACACTTCTCGCAGTTTCGACGAAAAAATCTTGGGGTTACCGGGGAGCGAACACGGGTCCGCTGGGCGGGAACGAAAGAAACGCACGCTTTACGCAACTCGGCCGTTCTGATCAGTGATATTACAATAAATGCTTGACGTGTGTCACTCTATCTAATAATATTACGTATTTGTGCATATTTTTATTATTTTCTAGGCAAATAAACATTTTAGATGTTTATTTGATTTTAAATGATTTATTTATAATTTAATTTAAACATTAGACAATTATAAAAAAAACTAATTACTAATTTTTTTTATTTATTATCCTCAAAAATTATATGTAAAATTTTAGAAACGAAATAATTTTAATAAATTAATAATTATTGATATAATATAATATAATATTATTATTATTATATTATTATCATATACTCAAACAGAAAAATAATAATCTACTATGTAAAATTTGTCTGAAAATAATAATAATCGTTTAATAATTTTTTTTAAACTAAAAACACTTTTTTATTCAAGGAAATATTATTTTCATAATAATTTAATTTATTACAATATTATTTTATTATAATTTAATAAATTTCATTATTTTTAAAAAGGGCGCGCTATTTTGTCTTGGGCCAATCAGGTGATTTCAACTAAATGTAGGTTATGTTCGTTTCTGATTCATGACAGCTGCAAATATTTACAACAAATAATGCTTTGCAAGTGTATTTTTATTGCAATTAAGTAAGTTATGCAAAAAATATATATGTGGAAGAATAATTTACGCTGATTTTCATAAAATGAATATTGATTTATATGCTCTTGAAAGCAAAGTTCATTTTTTCTTACATTTAATTTTTTCGATCACCGAGATATTTCGATACATTTTCATGTGTTTTGTATGCACTGTCTTTTTTAAGAAAGGAATATTAATATAATTATTATTAATTTATTAAAGAATTAATTTTTATAAACAAGTTGTAATTTTTTTACACCAAGCAAGCGAAATTTTAATACACAAAATCCTAGCACAACTGTCCAGTTACTAGACTTATTGTAGCGCCACCGCCATGATAAGGATATAGGAATATAATTTCGAGCAGCACTGGACAGTGCCATTAAAAAAACTGGATAGGTTTAAGTCGTGGAAATATCAAGTTTAACTTGAATTATTTCCAAGAGTGTTGGTCAGCCACCCTACAGTAATTTGCAAGTTTAGCTAGAATCATCCGGCACGAGAAAAACTGTCCTGTAACTTGACTAATTCTAATAGTGCCATGACAAATTTCTACTAGGGATTGCGTTAGTACTCGTTGATTCAAATGATAACCTAAATGGTTGTTGTTTTGAATAATTATGTGGGGAGGGCTTTTCCTAAAAAATTTGGAATCTTTTTTATTGAATAATGTCTTATTATAAACATGTAATTCTAGTGAGAGAAGCAGCTCTGACTGTTGTTCTGACAGTTCTTCGATGGACAGTTGTGAGGCTAGTCCAGGACCTCCTGGACCACCAGGAGCTGCTGGTAAAGCAGGACCTCCTGGACCACCAGGACTTCCTGGACCACCAGGACTTCCTGGACCACCAGGACCTCTTGGACCAGTAGGACCTACTGGAGAGAAAGGAGCTGATGGTAATGCAGGACCTCCTGGACCACCAGGAGCTGATGATAAAGCAATACTTGCTGGATTACAAAGACTTGCTGGACCACCAGGACTTGCTGGACCACCAGGACTTGCTGGACCACCAGGACAGAAAGGACCTAATGGTAATGCAGGACCTACTGGAAAGAAAGGAGCTAATGGTGAAGTAGGAGCTAAAGGTGAAGCAGGACTTCCTGGAGAGAAAGGAGCTAATGGTAATGCAGGACCTCCTGGAGAGAAAGGAGCTAATGGTAATGCAGGACCTCCTGGAGAGAAAGGAGCTAATGGTAATGCAGGACCTACTGGAAAGAAAGGAGCTAATGGTGAAGTAGGAGCTAAAGGTGAAAACGGAGTTCCTGGACTAACTGGAGATGAGGGACCTCGTGGAGCACCAGGACTTGCTGGACCACCAGGACCTACTGGAAAGAAAGGAGCTAATGGTGAAGCAGGAGCTGATGGTAAAGCAGGACTTCCTGGACGAAATGGAGCTGTTGGACAACAAGGACCTCCTGGAGAGAAAGGACCTAATGGTAATGCAGGACCTACTGGAATGAAAGGAGATAATGGTGAAGACGGAGCTGATGGTAAAGACGGAGCTGATGGTGAAAACGGAGTTCCTGGACTAACTGGAGATGAGGGACCTCGTGGAGCACCAGGACTTGCTGGACCACCAGGACCTCCTGGACCACCAGGACCTGCTGGAGAGAAAGGACTTAATGGTAATAATGAGGTACCTAATGAAATTCGTCAATGTCCTGTTGCAACAGATCCTCCTAGAGAGAAAAATGTTAATGCATGTGATGAAACTTTGCAAACTGTTGGACCTGAGGATCAATATAGATTTGATTTATTAGTTGACATGCCTCAATCTGATGAACCTTGTAAAGATGATTCTATAAACAATGATGCTCCTGGTTCATTTCATAAAATTGTTGTGGTAACTGATAATAATGGATCCAGTACATATCACAAACTCTTCTAGCGGAAAAGCGGTGTACTTAGAAGTTTACAAAATATGGCTACGCCTAGTGACAGCTGTTCTCAATAGTAAACAGTGTAAAGATATATAATAATTTTAGAAAAAGTGTACAAATTTTTGATCTCAATAAAACTATTTGACTTGACTTGAAAAGAAAGAAAAAAGTTACACACAAAAATTTTAAATAAAACCTAAATTTTTTGAAAATATATTTAAAAATTGGTAAGTTTTTGCTTATTTATATACGAATATATAATTTAGATTTTTAAAATATTTGTTTTCAATTATTTTTCATAATGAAATAATAAAGGAATTGCAATAATTTGTTGTAAATTATATAAAAATAATAAAAATATAATTAATTTTTTTTCATTGTAGCCGTATATATTTCAAACGAAATTTCTTAATTTTTTTTTATTTTTAGGTTATATTTACATGTAAACAAACAAAATATAATGACAAGTTCAGCAAGTATTTTGTTAACATTCAAATACATAAAAAATAATTTGTATCAAGTAAAGTTGCCTGTGTTAATGCTGATTCATTGATCAATTTAGCAGGCTCATTTTTCACTTTTTTATTTATAATTACACAAAATTAACTCGCATCAAACACATTTAATAAAAAAAAAAAAAAAAAAAAAAAAAAAAAAAAAAAAACGCCAACTGACAGATATATAACAAACACTTACATAAAAATGTACCACGTTACCTGTAATTCCTCGCTTTTCCGCTAGGGTTGTTAGTATCGGGGATATGTAAATGCTTCTATTAAATCTGGAAAGGCTGGGGAAGAATTTTCAAAAACGGCTTATAGAGTGGGTGCTCCTTATACTACTTCATGTTGATAAGTAAAATACGTGTAATATTATAGTCTAATAAGTGATCAAGTGTACACTTCTTCAACCAGTAAATCCCTCCTCGAATTAGATTAGATAGAGATATGGCCATATTCTATGTATTATGATTTTACTAATTTTTTTATCACATTATTATATGTTTTATTGATCTTTATTATTATTACTTTTGTATAGGTTATAAGTATTTTTTGAAATAAGTGATCAAGTGTACACTTCTTTAACCAGTAAATCCCTCCTCGGATTGTATTAGATAGAGATATGGCCATATTCTATGTAATATGATTTTACTGATTATTTTATTACATTATTATATGTTATGAGTATTTTAAATATTTTTATATTTCTCTCTTGTTTATAGGATTTATAGTTTTTGGGTTTATTTTATTTTTAATTGTTCTTAAGGTTTTCTTGTGATATAATAAATAAATTTTAATTAAAATAACTGTGTATTCTATGAACAACAAAACATTAAATTTTTGGAAAATCAATGTACAGCATGGAATTTTTTTTTGAGAGTAGTCTAGCAAATGTGCAATATTATTAAATAAACAAATTCAATTTAATAGATTGATATATATATATATATACTATGTATACTAGCTGTCTCGTCATTTAGTGGCGCATGACCGATAGTATTTTCGTACAGAAAGTATTAATATTTAATGTAGCTGAAGTATGAAACGTCACAATTCGTCTCACAAAACGCTCGCAGCGCCACGCAAGAAATATTGCATAGGCGTCGCAAGCGAGCAATAATTCAAACACTAATGTTATTATATTGGATAAATAATATTAAATATATGATTATTTAAACATTTTAACACATAAAAGCTAACAATATACCAACTCTAACGTATAAACAATGAAAACATAAATTATTACATTTATTTTTAAATTAGTAAGGGGATTATATTTATGTTTATTATACGTAACGATAGTAAAATTCAAATTTAACATTTATGCATAATTAATAACACTTACATAATTTTAACAAAAAATTTTATTTTTTCTAGTAATTTTTACGTTAAATAATAAAAAATTTTGTAAATTAATTTTTATAAAAACAAGAGCCAAAAGTTTTTAACGTTCATATGAACGAAATTTGTTTTGCTACTTCTTTAAGTACGAATTTTATTACAAAATATTGTTTAAAATATCTAAAAAGAAGTTATTAATTTCATAATTGTTTAATTTACTGTTTTATTTTACATGGTCATCATAATTTTTAATGATTTATAGATTGAAAAAAATATTTCGTTCATATAAACGTTCAGAACTTTCGGCTCATATAATAACTATAGTGACGCGATGATTTTGAAATAAAAATTAATTAGGGTCAGTTGGGGTAAATGGGGATAAAATCCCTATTTTTCACAAATTACGTATGTTTCTTCCTTTAACAGGTAATATTTTCAGGTTTATTTTTTTAAGTTGTTATTTACATTCCTAGGATTAATTTTATGCATAAATAATAACAATTAGGGTCAGTTGGGGTAAATGGTGACAAAAGGTTTAGGAGCTTAATTTACAGTTTTAAAATGAAGTTTAACGTCAATATTTTAACCTCAGATCACCTGCAAGAGGTTTTGAGTATTGCCGAGCTTTTATCTTGATCGCTCAATGTATAAAAACTTGAAAATCAATATCAAACTGTTTCAGTATTTTGTCTCGCATTTCACAGAAAACAAACAAAAAATCATACCAAATTTTTTTCTTATTCCTTATGACTCCTATAATAGAAATTTACTTGAATTTTTGATTTTTGTTAATTTGGTTAATAATAACAAGCTGTCCCCATTTACCACAAATTTTATGAAATTTTCTAAATTTTGGGGTAAATGGAGACAATCAGTTTCATGCGTTTAAAGTTTATCTAAATTTTTTCTGATGCATAAAATTAATCCTGGGAATGAAAATAACAACTTAAGAAAAATAAACCCGCAAACATTTTGTTTTAAAGGAAGAAACTTACGTAATTTGTGAAAAACAGCGATTTTCTCCCCATTTACCCCAACTGACCCTATTCAATTTTTATTTCAAAATCGTCGCGACGCTAAATTTTTTATTAAAAATAATTGATATCCTAGAACTTTTTCGTATTTTTTATTGGATAAATTTGTTCTTACTTAATGTACAAATAAGTAGAAAAAATAAAATTTTTTGGTCGAAGCAATTTAATTGTTATTATTTATGCATAAATGTTCAATTTTTAGTTCAAAATCATCGCGCCACCATAGTTTTTATGAAAATTAATTTATATCATAGAACTTTTTTTATACTTTTATTGCATAAATTTGTTCATATTTAATGTGAAAATGAGTAGGAAAAATAAAATTTTTGGTCAAAGCAATTTAATTGTTATTATTTATGCATAAATGTTAAATTTTTGGTTTAAAATCGTCGCGGATAATAACCTTAAATTTAACACTATTAATATTTTAAAAATAAATGTCAATTTATGTTTTACTTTTTTTATACGTAAGACTTAGTATGTTGTTACTTTTTTTGTATTAAAATGTTTCAATAATCATAAATTTACTATGAATTATCGAATACAATGACATTAGTATTAGGATTATTGCCCACTTGCGACGCCTATGCATTATTGCTTGCGTGGCGCTGTGAGCGTTTTGTGAGACGAATTGTGACGTCTCATACTTCATTTACATTCTAACAGACAAAATTCAGAATTCACGCTCAAATGAACCGTTGGCTCTATCCTTTTAATTTTTTTTCCCTTTGGATATTTTTTTTACTCTTTTTCCTCTTGTAATTTTAACATTACAATTTTTTTCGATAAGAACGTACTTCACGTGAATAGGCCAATCTTGGTGGGATGAATTATAATTTTCATTTGGTTCCTATGGAGAATTTTGTAAAAGCTTAAATTATTTTTTTATTAACTCTTTTATGTCACAAATTACAAATATAATATCAGTAATAAGTGACACTAATAACCTCCAGAGTAACCTTAAAAACACAGAAAAAACTTAGTCTTATTTTTGCTGCAGTTCAAAATAAGTCAATGCTAAACGACATAGACAGTGGCGCCACCAACCTGACTGACACTTATATTATTTGAAATACAACACATATTTAAATTTTTTTTTTGTTTTTATACCAAAGGAGGAAAAATTTTCTTAAATTTTTTTAAAAAATTGTTCCTCTTCGCATCACTTATATTATTTGAAATACAACATATATTTAAATTTTGTTTTTGTTTTTATACCAAAGGAGGAACAATTTTTTTAAAAAATTGTTCCTTTTTGTATCACATAATTTATTTAACATACAACACATATTTTTTAAACATTTATTTTTATACCAAATAAGTTCGCTTCGAGTTCGGAACTCTCGATTTCAGTGCGAGTGTAACTCGCACTTGTCCGATTTTTTTTTATCTTTTGGGCGGAAAGAAAATTGTTCCGCACTAACATTCTATTCCTTGGATTTAAAGTTTGACGTTCAATGACCCATATTTTTATTTATACAGATTCGCCAGCGAATCGAAAATAGCATGAGAAATCCTCAATTTTTATAGTGGAACATTTGCCGTTTTGTCCACAGTTGAAATGGCTATTGAGTTTCCGAATCGTCAGCAACGAAACGTCTTTTTCATGAGAAGAGGTGGTCGCGGTTATCGGGATGAAAAAACAGTAAGGAGGGCGAGAATATGTGGGAATAAAAAGTGGAGACTAGAAAATGGGGAAAAAAAACACACACACACACAAGGAGGGGGGTATATAGAGAATCAAAGTGTAGCCGAAGGTACTTTTATTACCTCGCGACGTAACGTAAGCACGACGACGTTTTATGAATTTCAATGGGGAAAAGCAAGCAGCAGAAGCACTAGCCTTCGCTTCCATAACAGAGTTTCCTTCTACATTTAACGGGGTCGTCCGACACATTGGATCGACTCGAATTTGCATCGATTTGAGATTCTCCCGCGAGTCACCCTCTCTCTCTTTCTCTCTTGCTTTTCCCTTTCCCCCATTTTGCGGCCCTATTCAACCACCTCTTTGTCCTCTTTAGCAATGCACCATTGGAAACTTTTCACCTGAAAGGCTTAAAGTGGAAACTTTCCCCAGGGATATAGTTCAGTTAGAAAAGAGAGAATGAAACTGGCAAGATTTATCTCGAGGAATATCCATGTGCGCGCATTGAACCCAAAAAAAGAAACATCACGATAAACATCTTTTTTTTAAATTTCATTTTTTTTTTTTTTTTTTTTTTTTTTTTTTTTTTTTTTTTTTTTTTTTTTTTTTTTTTTTTTTTTTTTTTGTCATTTTAAGTATGTTCGTATATTAAATTTGACATTCAAACTGCTTTATCCAAAATTTTCACAATAAAACTTCTTATAGTTGGGGAATGTATTAGTCATCAGTGGACCACGTGTTCTTCTTCGTGAATAATTTATTTTTTGGAGTAAATAATTAGGTAACTTCAATACATCTTTGAGATATGTATAGTGAAAAAAGCTACATGTTATATGTATTTAGAATTTTTGTTACTGTCACAGAAAAATTAATTCTGTTTCTTATATCGATCATGAAAATTAACTTGTAATTATTCGATGTCTTGAAAATGAGTTTGCGAGACGATTTCTGTTTACCTTGCATATAAAGTGAGAAGAGAGGTTACTTGCATCTGACACCTTTCTGTATTTTGCATTTTAATTGGATAAGTTTCTTTCATTTTATACTCTCTCCATAAAATATACATAAAATGCGAAAAATGAATTTAAATGACTCTTCAATTTTGTTACTTGGTATATACTTTTCGATGTTTCAGTAGCAAATGTGAATTATTTTTTTTTAGTAAGAATTATATAATAAGCTCATCATTTTTTTTTCTCTGTAAAATTGTTATTGGTTGAAGAAAAAAATCATTTACCTGTAGCAATTTAAAACATAGATTTTATATACAGATTCTTGTGTGAGTAATTTGAATTTCAAAACTCCAATTTTCTTAAATGTAATAGCTTGACAGGAACAATTTGAGAAATTAAATAACAGGTCCATAATTTTCCAAAGTTTTCAAGTTTTCAAACACTACTGTGCGGTATCTATAGTCGAGGAGGGCCGGAATCAGTGTCGAGAAAGTGTTTGGAGATTCGCCAACACAGTAAACTTGGTTGTATCTTTTTCTATTGCAACGTTTTGATGCACATAAGTTATATCAAAATGAGAGCGTTTTGTAAATCATTTTTAGAAATGATAAACGAAGCGGTCTCATTTTTTGATGCAAAAAATTTAATCAACTTTTATTAATCATGGCCGAAATGAATCGACTGAAAAATAAACAATTTATTTTCAGTTATTTTCTTAATAGTGTAATTGCGGAGACTATTT